ACTGCAACCTCCGACTCTCGGGTTCTAGCGATTCTCCTGCCCCAGCCTCCCAAGTAGCTGAGATTACAGGCATGTGCCACCATGCTGGGCTAATTCTGTATTTTTTTGTACAGGTGATGTTTCTCCATATTGTTCAGGCTGGTCTCAAACTCCTGACCTCAGGTGATCTGCCTGCCTCAGCCTCCCAAAGTGCTGGGATTACAGGCGTGAGCCACCGTGCCTGGCCAACCTCCCCTGCTTTGCCCCTGCTTTTTAATTTCAGCTGGGCAAAGGGGCAAGCCCCCAGCAGTAGGAAGAGGTGTTTCTTCACCTTACCTCCCATACCTCACTTCAAACAAATTACATCTTTAAAAAACAATTTCTAAGACAGTTCAGTGCCCACCCAGAAGTCTTGCCCAACTTCTTTGTTCAGAGGCCTAAATAAACTCTCTTCATTCTCCCTGCCCAATCCCCTGCCCCCGCCAAACACTTTGTTCTCATTTGCATACCGATGTGCCGAAGGCCTCAAACCTTGAACCTTACCCCTTCAGTGCTTCTGGATCCTGGATGGAGAGCCCTGCCGCTTCCAGGAAGGTGGGGACTCTGGTGGAGGCTGTCTGAAATGGGGCTTGGGTTAGACAGTGGTGCCTGGGGACTGGCGGCAGTAAGGAGTTGGCCAGGCCTGTGACCAATCAGACTCTCATTCCTTCTGATGTCCAGCTGTTTTCCCTCCTCTTTCCTCAGGGGGTCCCCTAACCCATTCCTTTGTTTGACAAAAGGGAATTTCCCCCCCACCTTCCACTTCACCCCCCCTCCAGCTTCTGCTGTGTCTCTCCTCTTACTCTGTCAGCTCCTTCTTTCTCTTCCTGGACTACCCTCCTGATAAGGCCACATTTTTGAGGAACAGGCAGTGCCATCCCCCAAGGAAGGGGCCCCATCCCTCAGATTCTGAGCCCTCAGAGAAACCTGGAGTAGGAGGATGTGAAGAGACAGTTTCTCATTCCAGCTTCTTTCTCCAGCCAGAGAGTAGCCAGAATACAAAGGTAAAAAGAGGTGGAACTGAGGCCCTTCACCCCTACCCCCAGTCCCACCCAGAGCCCCAGGATAGAGACTATAACTGAACAAAATCACCAGAGGCAGGAGCTGAAGGCCTAGATGGCTAAAAGAGAAGGGGTACGGGGGATGACTCAGGATTTGAAAGCCAACTTCAAGTTCACAGATAATGATCATGAGGATATGGGAAATTCTCTAAATCTGTTAGGAAGAAAGCAAATGGAAATTGGGAGATGGGCCTAGAAAGGATCATCAACACCAGAAGACATTGTGTTGGGTCTTTGGGGGCCTGGGAAGGATCCTCTCCCCCACCCTCAGAGATGTATAGTCATTCCTCAGTAACCATGGGGGATTGGTTCTGAATGCCCCGTGGATACCAAATCCACATATGCTGAGGTCTTTTATATATGGTGAATTTGCAAATAACCTATACACATCCTCCGGGTACTTTAAATCATCTCTAGATTGCCTATAACACTATATGCGACTCTTACACCTCATGCCATTCATGTGGATTCCACATAGTACTGGCACACAGCAAATTCAAGTTTTGCTTTTTTGGAACTTTGTGAAAAACATTTTTTTCTGAATATTTTCAATCTGCGGTTGGTTGAATCCATGGATGTGGAACCCACAGACCCAGAGGGCCAACGGCACAAATCCGGAAACGCTTCCGTTTCCTTGCTGCCTCGAGCAGGCTGCTGAGCAAGTCCTTGCTGAAGGCAGAGGGTGGGGTAGCTAAGTGGCCTTCTCCCAGCTTCTGGCAGCCTGTGCCCTGGTGCCCACCCCGGTTTCTCAGTGACGCTCCTTGTTCCCTACTCCTTCCCACTGACCGGATACTGAATTCCAGCTGTGAGGCCCCCTAAAGATCTAGTCCAAATCCCTGTGGTATAAATGAGGAAAGTGAGGCCCCGAGGTGAGGTGGCTTGCCCTCAGTCACACAGAGCCAGGGCCAACGCCTAGACTTTTTGACTCTCAGGTCAGTGAGTTTTCTTTAGTTCATATGACCCTCCCCATCCCCACCTTCTTCCCAGGAGTCCTGAGTTCACGTGTTTCCAGGCCCTCAGAGCAGATGGCTTGGCAGAACTCATCTCTGCCCTGGCACTCCAGGTGAAGAGGCAGATCTAATAGCCTGGCCCAGAGGCCAGCACTTGGCTGGCTGTGTTCCTGGGCACCAGCTGGTGTGAGAGGGGGCTTCCCCCAGCCCAAGAGCCTGGTCATCAGAGAAGAGTCTGTTCCTGTACCCCTGCAGCTCCCGACCTGGGGAGAGACGCCATCAGAGGCTCTGCTGGGTGGAGGAAAAGATAGGCCTGGATCAGGGAGGGCGCCCGGGAGGCAGATGGCACATTTGGCAGGTTGTGTGCCTCCATCTTCTCTCCACAGCCTGGGCTTTGCAGCCAGAGGCCCTCCGCCCCCACAGCCAGCCTAGGTGCATCCCTCCGCCCACCCCACACATTTATTCCTGGGAGAAATGGAAATGCAAGTGTTCATTGACTCTCCCTGCCACCTGCTCCCACTCTCCCTCCCTGCTTTCCCAGTGACACACACGGTCCTGCCATCCCTGCTTGATTGCTGCATCCCACCACTGTTCCTCCCAATGCATACACACCTGCTCCCCTACTCCTGCCAGGAGCCACATCCGGACACAGGCTCACATCCTAGACCCTTTCCCAAACTTCTACTCTGCTTTCCCAAGCTCGCAGGTCCCACGCTCTTGTTCTCAAGAATATAAGGGGCTGTTCACAGATGCGTACAGGTGACCTGGGGGGTAAACGGCTAACCCAGACTGTTGTTCCAGGCAGCGAGCTCCCCGAGAGCCTGGCAAAGGAAGCAGGAGGCGTGGGAGGCGTCTTAATCCTAATCTCTCATTAAGAAAGGCACAAGGCGTGTTGATGAATTGGAGGTGGCAGGTGGTATGGACAGAAGTCTGGCCAGCCAACCCTGTGGTTGCCCTTTTCATGGACAGGGAGAGAGAGGTGGGGAAGTTCAGGCACCCTCCTGCGTTTTGGAGGACAGGGGTATATCCCCTGCTGAGGGCTTGCAGCCACATAACTCCATGACCAGAACATGACCCTGTCCTCTGTTTCAGGCACACAAACCCCACAGGGTAGACTCCACACCTTCCTGCCTTTTCACTCATGCTGTTTCCCGTCTTGGTTGTGTCTTTTTTACTTTTTCTTTTTTTTTTTTTTTTTGAGATGGAGTCCACCCTGTCACTTAGGCTGGAGTGCAATGATGCGATCTTGGCTCACTGCAACCTCCTCCACCTCACTGGCTCAAATGATTCTAATGCCTCAGCCTCCCAAGTAGCTGGAATTGCAGGCACTTGCCACCACACGCAGCTAATTTTTGCATTTTTAGTAGAGACGGGGTTTTATTATTTTGGCCAGGCTGGTCTTGAACTCCTGACCTTGTGATCCACCCACCTTGGTCTCCCAAAGTGCTGGGATTACAGGTGTGAGCCACCGTACCTGGCCTGTGTCTTTTTTTCTTTCTTCCACTTGGTCAAATCTGATTTATCCCTTAAAAGCCAGCTCACATGATAGGAACGTTTCTGGTTTTCCATAGATAGAGGTAAAAGCCTTCTCCTCTATGTTGTTCATACACAGCATTTTTACAAACACTTAAGACATAGAGGTATCCATTCATGGATTTATTTCCCCTTACTCAAAGGTATGTTGTGTATATTACTCATCCGTGAATTCTTAGCTGGGGACCTGGCATGTGACCGGTGTCCACTGAACATTCATGAAGTGAACCAAAGTAGATGTCTAGTAGGCAGGTGGGAGCAGTGAGGGAGTCACCTGGCAGTTCTCATTCTAAAGAAGATGGGTAGCCTGGAAGGGTCATGAACCCCACTTCTGCAACCAACCTTCCCTTTGAAGAGAGATTCAGGGGCACCCTGTTCTAACCCTTCTGTGGACTTCCGCATGGCCTCCAGACCATTCCAGATGACTGGCTCTATGCTCTCTGCCCTCAAGGCAGCTCTTTCACTGTTTTGTGTGCACACTGCATCTCCCCAGCTAGTCTGTAAGCTTTACTTGGGCAGGAAAGGCAACCGTTTTGTGTCTTTCTGTCTCTACCTCTATACCGAGCTCCTGGGAGACCCTCAACAATTTAGTATGTGCAGGTTGAAAGAACCCGATGCTTTGGATTTCAAATGCAGCTGTCAGATTTCTGATCTGACTTTAAGAATATATATATATATATTTGTCTGTGTGTGGGCAGTCTTGTGGAATTGAGGATTAATTTTTCATGAGGGTTGTGAGTTTGCGAGAAATTCTTCAAAGAAAGGCTTTGGAGCTGGGCACAGTGGCTCGCACTTGTAGTCCCAGCACTTTGGGAGGCCAAGGTGGGAGGATTGCTTGAGGCCAAGAGTTCTAGACCAGCCTGGGCAACATAATGAGACCCTGCCGCTATTAAAAGAAAGAAGAGGAAGAAGAAGTAGAAGAAGAGGAGGAGGAGGAAGAGTGAAGAGGCTTTAGAATAGCTTTCCTAGGAATTTCTTATGAATATAATCTTTTCTCCACTCATCTTGTTAAAGCAAGTAAGAGGCTCTGGGGCTGGGAAATGGTGGCTCAATGGTAGGGGGTGGGTAGCAAGATGACTTTGTTTTATTTTTATCTTTTTATTTTTAGATGAAGTCCCCGTCTGTCACCCAGGCTGGAGTGCAGTGTTGCTATCCCCCTTCCCTGCACCCCGGATTCAAGCAATTCTCCTGCCTCAGCCTTCTGAGTAGCTGTGATTACAGGCATGTGCCACAACATCCAGCCAATTTTTTGTATTTTTAGTAGAGAAGGGGCTTCACCATATTGGCCAGGCTGGTCTTGAATTCCTGACCTCAGGCGATCCTCCCACCTCGGCCTCCCAAACTGCTGGGATTACAGACAAAAGCCACTGTGCCCAGCCAGCAAGATGACTTCAAAATGTTATTCTTGACCTGTTCACGTTGTCAAGTTCAAGCAGGGTGTTTTTCATATTACTTTATTTCCTCTACTGTGAAGCATGTTGAAATGTGGAAGTTATTTCACAAAGTTACCACGGTCTTCAAGAGAGAAGAGCTACACATGCAGAGTACACATACACACCTGTATATGTCGATGACGACAGTTGGAGGGAATGATCTTGTGCATGGAGAAGGGGGCTTTTTTAAACACAAAAACCAGCACATGGTGTGTGTGTTTGGGGAGGGGAGCCTGTAAAGCCAATTTACCTTGAATCCCCTCTGGCTTACAGCTGCAGAGAGCGATGGAGAGAGCAGACATATTCTAGATTGGGCAGTGGGATGAGGGAGATTGCCCTGCTGCTAAACGAGTCTGGGTTTGTAGGATCAAGGGAATGACCTCTTCCCCGAAAGCCTCATCAACCTTGAGGTTGCAAGCTGTGAATAAGATGCAGAAGCGGGGCTTATCCAGGCCCAAGTTGCTTTCAGCCATAATAATATGTCGACTTTAAGCAGGAGCCTTGGAGAAACCAGCTGCAGCTAGGATGAATGCCGCAATTGTCACGGAGTACAGGAGAAGGAGGCTATGATGAAATGGGCTCTATTTTCCCTAATTAGCCAAAGAGAAAAGTGAGAAGGAGCGTCATGGAAATTTCTTGAAGTTAGGGACCCAGCTAACTTCAGACCCAATTTCTTAAAGACCTCTGGAACCTTTCGCAACCTAACTTGGGGGTAGGCACTGTGTCTTACTCATTTCTAGAACATCCATCCCCTGCGCCTCCCACCAACATACACATGCAGAGGGCTGAGAAGGGGCATCATCCCTTGGAGGAAGTTAGGGGGAAAGGTGAAGTTGAGGCAGCCTTGTCTGGGCCGGGTTCCACTTGAAGACCTGCCAAGCTGCTCACCTAGGCCAGGCATGGAGGGTGGAGAAGCCTCTGGGGGAGGAACAGTCCATATAAAAAATAAATTACTGCAAGGGAAGGGGCAAATATTTAGGACTTGTCCTGTATTCGAGAATGATTTAAAGTGTGGAGCCGCAGATTCGGAACATGAGCGTCGGAGGGACCTCAGAAGAGCATCTTTTTCTTTTTCTTTTTTGAGATAGAGTCTCACTCTGCCGCCCAATCTGGAGTGCAGTGGCATGATCTTGGCTCACCGCAGCCTCCACCTCCCAGGCTCAAGCGATTCTCCTGCCTCAGCCTCCCAGTAGCTGGGATTACAAGCCTGCGCCACTACACTTGGCTAATTTTTTTGTATCTTAGTAGAGACGGGGTTTCACCATATTGATCAGGGTGGTTTCGAACTCCTCAGCTCAGGCAATAATCTGCCCGCCTCGGCCTCCCAAAATGCTGGGATTACAGGCGTGAGCCACCACGCCCAGCCAGGAGCATCTATTTTATCCACCTCCTCGGTTTACAGATGCGGTAACTGAGAAGGCACCACCAGGAAAGGGCATACAACAAACGGGAGCCGCCTATGTCCTCACCTGGGCTCACTCACGATGGGAATGAGCCCCAGCCTGGGGGCCATTGTGCCCTTTAGACCCTAGAGAAGAGCGACACCATGCACACGGCCCACGGCTCTTCCATATTGGGATCCCACGGGGCTCCTCCACCGACAAAAATCACCCCAGGGAGAGGGCCTGGCGGAAGACTCGGGCCAGCTGTTACCCTCACCAGCCACTAGGTGGCACCGACGCGTCTGTCTCCGAGGCGGAGGCGCGTTTTCAAACATGGAGGGACTTCGTGGAGATGTCCAGATGCTCCGCCCCTTCCTCTCTGTTTCTCGGGAGCCGCCTCCCGGGGGTGGCAGTGGCCGGGCAGCGCTCACTGATGCAGAACAGATGGCGGGGGCGGGGCTGCTGTCTCTTCCCTCCCTGCCCCCACACAAACACTGTGAACGCCGCTCGCGAGCCCGAGGTTGGGCCAGGGGGCCGCAGGACCCGTCGACGCCACGGGGGCCCATCCCTGGCTTGAACCGCCCTCCTCCCATGGCTGCTTCCTAGTTCCTTGGGCCGTTCTTCTCCTTGGCTGTTCCTCCTGAGGCCCGGCCAGGAGGGCGTGTGCTCTGTTCACCCTGGAGCGGGAGGGGCCCCCGAACATCCCTGTGGCCAGCTGGCCAGATGCACGCCCCCGCGGGAGCTCTGACCCTGCAGCCCCTCCGTCATTCCCTCACTCCTCCTTCCCGGAGACCTGGGCCAGCAGGGCCGGGGCGATGTCTGGTGCCGGGGAACCGCGCGGCGGAGCAGCAGCTTTGCCGGAAGGGATCCGAGGCCAAGGAGAACTGGGTTTCTCGGCCTCTTTGAGCCAGAGCTGCCCAAGATGGAGGAGTCCCCAGGGGGGCTTTCTGAACCTTACCTCCGGGCCGCTTGCTGAGCCAGGACCAAGATCAGATGCAGTCAGTCTGTGGCCCAGAAGTTGCCAGGAGCGGCGGATGGGGGAGGAGAGAGAGGGGACACCACGTCTTTAGACACATCTGTGTTTCTGGAGCAAAGGGAAACCACGGAAGGCCAGGAGTGTGGGTGTGCACTGGGTGTCTTTCAACGGGGTGGGACCAAACCGAGCCCTTGGAAGTCTCGCTCCTGAGGCTGCAGCAGAATGGAAGGCTTTTCCCTGCCTCGAGGGTGGGATAAGGGAGGCAAAGCTGGGAGCAAGAAAGGGAGAGAGAGAAAACGAATGGTGGGCACAGGCGCCTGGGCCCCAGCCTTCAAGTGCGGTCAGATCGGATCCGTGGCGGAGCAGGGCCTAGATGACCACGGACTGCAGGAGGCGGAAGCACATCATGAGGTCCAGCGGGATGGGCGGCTTCAGGTAGTTCCCATCCAGCCGCAGGTAGCGCAGGTGTGGCACGTTCTCCAGGTCCGAGGAGAAGTCATGGAACGCTACTAGGTCGTTGGGGCAAATCTGGGTTCCGTTGATTTCTATGGAGAAAGAAGAGAAGTCAGCAGGGAATGGAGGTGGAGGAATCGGGACAGACCGAGGCTGGCGGCCAAGATGAGGAAGGGGAAGGGGGAGGACACCCGACAGCCAGGACTGCAGACTTCTCTCTGAAACTGGCTGGCTTTGGGAATGTGTGATCAGAGATGAGCTGCCTTGACCTCCGGGCTCAGTTTACTCATTTGTAAAATGAATCAAGTTGGATTGACCAACAACTGTTCTTGCAAGTTCACTCTAGAGAACTGGAAGTAAATTTTGAGCTGGGCCTTCAAGAATCCGTAGGATTACAACAGGTGGAGATCTAGGGGATGGTGTTCTGACAGAGGAATCTGTTTGAATGAAGTTGTGGAGGCCAAAATTCTGCATATGGCCGAATCTGGGAATAGTAATAGTGCAATGTGGTGTGCTAAGGAGAGTAGGCTGGGAGGTAGTTAGGCTCTCAAACAGTATTTCACTAAGAGGCTTTTGATTTCCGGTCTGAGGAATGGCAGTGAACAGGCCTGTCTTTATGAGAACGATATTATTAAGAGGATACTTGAACCATGGTCTCCTGGAGTGTTAAGTCTGGAGGGGTCCTTGGGATCCCTATGTTCAGGTTTATGCTGTACAAAGATGAATCTGGCTAGTGTGGAGAAGCAATGGAGTAAGGTGAGATCTGAAGCCAGCACGTGGATGTGAAAATTACTCTGCAGGTTTTCCTTTAAATCAGATGTGAGGCATGAGGATGGGCGAAAGATGGTAACTGAAATAGGGATGATGAAAAGAGAGAAGACGGTCTAGGGAGGGCTCCAGAGCCCCAAGGACATGATGAGCCTACTGATTCTGAAGGGTCCATGGCCTGAGATTCCATTTCCTCCATCACCTCTTGTTAGATGCCTGTGGCACCAGACATACCAGGGTTTAAATGAACTGTTTGATTATCCCTAAGCCTTGCCTCACTTGTCATTTATGGAGGAGGAGGAGGAGGAAGAGTAGGCATCATCTTCATTGTGGTTGTCTTCCTCTTCCTTTTCCTCCTCTTTCTCCTTTGTCATTGGAGATGCAGAAGGGCCCTGAGACAGGGGCTTTCTCTTATGAGTTTTGTGACTTCGGGCCATTACCTAGCCACCCTGATGCTGAGTTCTTCAGTCTGTGAAATGGTAAGAATGGTGCCTGACCTGTAATCGGGAGAGAGAATGTTGGCAAAAGCATTTTGCAATCTGTTTGAAGACAGTGGCAGTGGCAACATTACTGTCATTGTGAAGAACATAATCATCACACTGACCTAGGTCCCACTGAGCCCATTCTGTCTGTGAAAGGCACAGGAGACAGGCTGGATGGGGGTGGGTTCATGTGGGTGAGGCGTGAGTCTGACTTCAACCTCAGAAGGCTGGGATATCCCCCAGCAACCTGTTCTTCCATATCTGGTAGAGACCTAGCAGCCATTTATTAATCAAGGTATCTTTTCTGTCTACATTTTGGCCTTATAGCTTCCTGAAGGTAATGTGTTTTATTTTCACGTGCTGTCTCCAGAGTAAAATTAGACAGTGTTCCCCCTTTCCCAAACATTTTTTCTAAGATTAAAAAAAATTCTCCCCTACTTCTTGAAATTATCCCAAATGAGTGAATGGATCTATTTCCCATCCATTTGTTTCAAGACTGTAGAGACCAATAATCTCTCTCTCATTATTTGGCTTGGAAACTGAAAGATCCCTAAATATCATTCTAGGGGTCCTGCTCTTTTCCCTCAATCCCTTTCTTCCCTTCTGCTGCTGCATCCCTTGGGTGAATGTAGGCTGATTTTGTTCAAGAACCAGAAAATGTTATTTCACTTCTAAATCTTTCTGCTGACACTCTGTTGCTCAGAGCTGAAATTTTTGATTGAAGCAAAACTGCAACTTCCAATCTCCTCTCCTGGGCTGTAGCTGATACTACAAGTCCAGAACCCTGTAAATGTCACTTAGGCAAACTCTCCCTTAAAGGTAGCTCAACATTGCAACCTTCCAGATAAATTGAGAAAGCACTGGCATACAGACCTTTACTTCCTGGCTGCCACATTTTTACCAGTTGCATACCGTGAGTTGAAACCGAGGCTCAGGTCTGGGAAGAAGTGTCCTCCCACAGGGACAGGGTTTCTGCAGAGGGCAGGCCCAGGACATATTTCAAGATAGGTATTTAAATGTCTCTGTTCTGTTTTTAGCAGAACGTCTAGGAGTATATTCCATAACTACCCTACCTATAGATCCAGTTGCCAAGGAACTGGGGCTGAGGAGGAATGGAGGAAGAAAACCTCTGACCCTCCCAGTATGGTAGTCTGGGTCCTGTCTCCATATTACATCTCTACTGCATCTTCGTTTCACCTTTGTAATAGAAGATTATTATTAGCATTCTCATTTTACAGATGAGGAAACTTCCCAGAAAGGTCAAATATCTTTTCAAGGTCACCTAGGTAGCAAGTGGCAAGGCCACAAATTGAAATCCAGTGCCAAAGTGGATGCTTTTGATACCACCCCACCCTGAGACTTCCTAGAGAGGGTAGAGGCGCTACACAAGCCGGCCTCCTTGCCTGTGGCCCTGCCCCGGCCCAGCCCACTCACTCTCGATGCTGTTGTTGTTGAGGTACAGGTGTTCCAGCCTGTTGTTGATGGCGGGCATGCTGCTGATCCTGTTGTGTGACAGGTGGAGCACAAGCAGGTTGGAGATGTTAAAGGAGTTCTTGGGGAGTCCCCTGTCTGTCAGCTTATTGTAGTTGAGTCGAATGAAGGCAAGATTGGGAAAGCTCTTGAAGTAACCGTTAGGGATGTTCTCAATCTTGTTGCTGTCCAGGTAGAGCTGGTGAATGGCGGTGGGGACCCTGGGCGGCATCTTTCTCAGGATGTTGTGGGCCAGGTTGAGCTGCATGAGGTTCTTGAGGCCCTGGAAGGTGTCGGGCTTGAAGACGCCGTCGCTCAGCCTGTTGTGCTGGAGATCCAGGAGTAGCAGGTTCTCCAGCTTGCTGAAGACGCCAGGCGGGATTCTGGAGATGTGGTTCTGGCTCAGCCGCAGCTGCTCCAGGTTCCGGGGCAGGGCTGAGGGGACCTCTTCCAGCTGGTTCTTCTCCATGTAGAGGAACACTAGGCCGGGCAGTTTCTCCAGCACCCTCTGGTCTATCTTGCGGATCCGGTTGTTGTCCAGGTTAATCCATCGCAGGCCTGTGGCATTCTGGAAGGACTCCACGGGGAGCTCAGTGATGAAGTTGTTCTGGAGATAGAGGTAATGGATGCGGGGTGGGATGATAGGGACCTTGCGCAGGTTGCGGCTATCACAGTAGAGGGCAGATGGGAAATCAGGGGGACAGTAGCATTCGCGCGGACAGTCAGGGAAGATGGATGGAGGGCCTGGAGGGAGGGGAGGAGGCAGGTCTGTTGGCTCTGCTGGTTCATAAGGTTGAGGAAAGCTGGGTGTGGGCCGGGGCCTGGGTCTGGGTCTGCGCCCGGGCCCAGTCCCAGGTCTTGGTCGTCTTGTTGGCTGGCCTTGGGCCACTGAGGCCAAGATGAGAAGTGGGAGAAGCCAGCAGAGGGATGACCTCATGATCCAGGTGATGCACCTGCAGGGAAGAGACACAGGAAATCATTAGCCTTGGGCCCTCAGTCACTAGGTGTTATGCTTTCCAATCCACAGTTGGGCAGAAGTAGAGCTCCAGGGAAGATGAGCAGAGCTCAGGGAGCTGTAGAAGCATTTCCTTGTTTGCCTGTCCCCAGCAGGTGAGGGAGTAACAAGGGCTTGGGGCAATGGATTCCCTGCCCATTGTCTTAGCCACTTGCTATGTTGAGCCTGCTCTAAACAGGGGGTGCCATGCTAATAGAAAGCATATGAGGCCAGGCAAGTTGGTGCACACCTGTAATCCCAGCTCTTTGGGAGGCCAGAGTGGGTGGATTACCTGGGGTCAGTAGTTCGAGACCAGCCTGACCAACATGGCAAAACCCTGTCTCTACTAAATACAAAAAAATTAGCTGGGTGTGGTGGTATGTGCCTATAACTCCAGCTACTTGGGAGGCTGAGGCAAGAAAATAGTTTGAACCAGGGAGGCAGAGGTTGCAGTGAGCTGAGATTGCACTCCAGCCTGGGCAACAATAGTGAAACTCTGTCTTTAAAAAAAGAAAGCACAGTGGACTCTAAGTCAGGAGTCCTGGGGCTTGTCAGAGAAGATTCTTAACTACTCTGGCCCTCAGTCCTCCCATTCATAGCGTGAGAAAATCATCTTCAAGAGAGGTGTTAGGATATATAAAGCATATATAGAGTCCTGGGTGCTAAATCCAGAAAGGCCCTTGAAGATCCATAACACAGTGGTTTCAAACTCTGCCTTTATTTCTGTGGAGCACCCCTGTAGGGAGGAGACTGAGGAGGTGGCCCTGGGGTGCCCTCAACCCATCCCCATGCCAACCTGAGCAGCTCCCTTTAAAAAAACCTATTATATATATTGAGTTTTAGCCAAAGCATTCATTTGGGGTGGGGGGAACATGTTTCTTTGATAAAAATGGTTTGAAATCCACCAATCAACTCCAGACCCCACTGTTTACAAAAACTGAGGACTGGAGGGAAGAAGTGACTCTCCAGGGCCAGTATGCCATTTAACAGCAGACCCAGGACAAAAACCAAGGTCCCCTCCCTTCCAGAGGAGAGGTGGTGTGGATCTTGGGAAGGGAGGGAAGTGCTGCCGACACCTTTGCATCTACCCTGGCTCACAGATGCTCTGGCCTCCCCACCCCTCTCCCCACTCCCTGCACTTGACTCTTTGCCATTGGGAGATATGCCAAGACTTTCTCCCCAGATGTGGAGGCTCCCGGGAAATTAACAGTGGAGGGATTGAAAGATGTGCAGAAAACACTTTCCTTTCTTTTGGTCTGGTATTGCTGCTCCTATACCCTTTGGAGTTGGTAGTATTGAGGTGGGATATCAAGAAGAACCTCCTGCTAGCCTCGGTAACATTGAAATATGGAGCTGAAGGATGTTTTGGTGTTGCCCTCCTTCCCATTGGCCCAGTGACCCTCCCAATAGGGTTTGAGTTGAATTGAAACTGGGGAAATAACAGACCCATGGCTGCAGACAGAAAGCCACAGCCCCGACAGGTCTCCTCCCCTGGACTAGGCTGGGAGGGGATGCCCTGTATTTGAAATAATATCCTCTCCAAGGCTATTATTCCTATGACACCTCCAGCCACGATTCCTGTGGATGCACATTGCTTCAGCTGGCCCTCCTCACCTCTTCCTCAGAATTGGGGTGTTCTTTCCACTGCCTCGAGGTCTGGCCACACTGGGATGCAGGCTTCTCTGAGATAGGCTGGGCTGGAGTATGTCCCCAGCTTGCATCTGGACCCTGTGATCTCTGGGTTGATTCAGACACCCTGCCTCTGCTGCCTTCCCTTTGAACCCGTGTCAGCTGAGACTCTTTTCTTCCCTGACCCAGTGCCTGGCTCCTCGCTGGCTTTGATCAAAGGAAGGCAACAGAAGCCACTCACCAGCTGCTGAATTCTAGGTCAGATGCTCAGGAAAAGCTGAATGTGACAAGAAATGGGAAAGAGAAGGGCTTAGCCATGGGTGGGTAGAGGGTGTCTCACTGCAGCTTATGCATACGGGGACACACACACATACATACATACACACACACACACACACACACACACACCTTTGACCCCCCCACCCCCCCCAGTCTGCCACTCTCATACACACCTTTTCAGGTCCCATGCACATAAGCAAACTCTCGCTTATCCTGTGTGTGTGTATATGAACGCTTATGCAGCATTCTGAGTATTGGAAGGGAAGAAGGAAGGCAGGAGACCATCTTGCAGCCTGTGTTGCTTCTCCACCTTCCACTAAGGTGGCCTCTTTCAAGAAAGGCCTCTCCAAGGGGGTCTGGAAGGCCATTTCCCCTGGCCTCCTATCACAAATGATCTTGGAGTGAGATTTTTGGCTTGATCTCCTGTTAAGGATGTAACATTCTCAGAGACACATTGCAAGTATTAAAAAGAGAAGGCATTAATTGCAAAACTTTAAGCTTGAGTCTTGTTGGCTGAACCCCACATCACTTGTAATTGGTGAACTATGAATTAACATTTTTCCCTGTAATTTTCTGGAAAACAGAATAGTCATCTTGCATATAAATTAAGGGGGTGGTTAAAGCATCAGTATTCTAAAACAAACATTTCTAAAAGCCTCAAGTTTTGTGACCCTGATTTAAAAAAAAAATAAATTCTTTATTTTCTAATCACCCAGAAGCCTAGAAATGAGCAAGGAATCTTTCATACTGTGAGACCCCCTCACAAGGAGGCTCCCAGCCTCTTTGGGGTGGGGGGGGGTTTCTACATCCCTTCATTGCCTTTGTCACTGAAAGCATATGCCAGAGACTAGGCAGCAATTTGCCCAGGGCTTCCAGCAAAAGCAGTGAGGTACTGTGGCTGTGGCCTGTGCTGGGAGTGGGTTTCCTTGGCTCAGTGCCAGGGCAGCCCTGGTCTTCATTGTCAGGGGTGAGAGGAGCAGGCAGGCCACTCACAGCTCCACCCAGCAGGCTGGCCGCCCCACCGTCTCATCCACAGTAAACACAGGCCTTCCTCAACCCCACGTGCAGCACCAGACCCTTAGGGAACTTATCTTTTCCCTAGCCCTCTGACCCTTTTACATTCCAAACCTCTGGGCCTAGCCAAGTTCCTCCCAGAGCCAACAGGAGGTTCCCGAGGAAATGCTCCCAGGAGCAAGTTATGTGGGGAAACTGAACCGGCTCTCCTCCCCTTCTCTCAACCCCAGGGCTGAATCAGAACCATTCTGTGTGCAGGGATGCTTCTCAAGGAAATAGCATTCATTGCTAAGGCTTTTCTCATGGGGTGACGCCCCTTCCTGCTGGAGCTTTGCAGGGAGGTGGGATGAGAAGTCATGACAGCTGACAGCATGGCCATTCTCTCTGGCAGTGCTCCATAATGTCCTAGGTCTCCGAAATCACAATCTGTGTGACAGACTGAGGGTATCTGGACTCCATGGGTGGTCATAGTCCCTCCTACAAAGCCTCAGAGCCACACTCTATGCTCCTGCCTTCTAGAAACTTCTGTCCAATCACACAATTCCTTGGGTTGGGTCCATGTATGTGTTTTTAAATTTTTCTAAGGCTTTTGCAAGTGCACCTCTCCTCCCACAGCTTTCTATTGGGCTCTACTCATTGCTCAATCAGTGAAGGCTTATTGACTACCTACAACAGCCAATTGCGTGCAGCTCTGTTCTCCACCATCGGTTCTGGAAAAGCTGCTGCTTCATGGAAGAGAAAAGCATTTGCTTTGCCCAACCCAACATTCACTCTCCACATTTAAGAATGTTTCCTAAGAGAATCTTAATTTTTTTTTCTTTTTTCACTTTAAACAAAAATGAGATGGGGGTCTCACTATATTGCCCAGGCTGGTCTTAAACTCCTAAGCTCAAGTGATCGTCTCACCTCGGCCTTTCAAAGTGCTGGGATTACAGGAGTGAGCCACCACACCCAGACCCTTAGAGAGTTTTAAATTCAGTTTTCAATTCCAACGATTGTGGATCTGGGCTTAGCTCCTGGCTCTGACTCTCCACCCCAGGCTCCTCATCTGTGTGAGGATCAAACCAGATCGTGCATTTGAAGGCATGCTATAAAGTGTAAAATCTCTGCAAGTGGCAGAGGCTTACTTATTCATTTATTTGTTTATAAAAGAGCAGATTCAAGACTCCTTGTTTTTGTTTTTTTTTTTTAAGACAAGATCTCTCTTTGTCCCCCAGGCTGGAGTACAGTAGTACGATCACATCTCACTGCAGACTCATCCACCCTGGGCTCAGGTGATCCTCCCATCTCAGCATCCCAAGTAGCTGGAACTGTAGGCATGTACTTTTCTGTAGAGATGGGGTTTTATCATGTTGGCCAGGCTGGTTTTACCCCTGAGCTCAAGCGATCGGCCTGCCTTAGCCTCCCAAAGGGCTGGGATTACAGGTATGAGCCACAGTGCCCTACAGACCCCTTGATTTTGAAAGTGAGATAGTCCCCTTCCCTATCTATCTAATTAATTTAATGTAAAAGTCCAGGACTGGTGGAATATTTATACTCAGGGCAGGGATGGGTGGAGGTCCTGATGGGCTTGTCATTAGGAGCAGCTGTTATTTAAAGCTAATTGGTTTTGTGTGGAGAGGTTGAGGTTGGGCTGGGAATGAGGTTGGGTTTGTCTTCCAGGGCTAGGCGGGGTTAGCAGCAGGGTTCTCCACACTCGGTTCGAGCATTCTTCTCAAGTGTCAGATCTTCTGTCTAATTGGTCAGCCCTAAGCCTCCATGCCTTGACCCAGAGCTACCGTGCTGTGCAGAATGGGTGCCTGCGAACACTGAAACAGACCCAGAGCTGTGCCTGTGAACATTGGAACACCCCTGTCTCTTTCTTCCCTTCTTTCTGTTCTCAGCCTAGATATCCAAAAGCTATCCTGCTGTCTTTATCTCTTCCTGTGGTCCAGAAGGGAGTTGGAAGCAGGGGGAATGAAATAGTCTTCACCAGTTTATGAGCAGAGTTAGCAGAGAAGTGAGTCTAAGGCCCTTTCAAGGCCCCCATTAGGGCTGATACGGTCCTGAGATAACAAAGGGGCAGTATGGGGCATGCTGACTTCAAGCTGCCCCTTTCCGGAAAGGTGAAATGATGCAAGGGTGAGCCTTCCTCCAACAGTGGGAGGAGAGCCTGTGGTGCACTAGATTCTTGCCCCTCCACCATTATCTAGTGATGCAACCCTGTTCTGGGCCTCAGTTTTCTTATCTGTAAAATGGGAATAACAAAATCTTCCCTGTACCTGTATTCCTTACCCAGTTGTCAGAAACAAGTGTGGTTAGCAACTTTAAAATGCACTACAGATCAAAAAGTGCTAAAAATAAAAATAACACTATTATGGAGAGACCATCTGTCTCCCCAGTGTCTACCACAAGGCAAAGTGTAAACAGAATGAAGATTTTCTGGCCTCAGGCCACTAGTCTAGAAGAGCAAATTTTCCATTCTGAGGAACGGAGGAGAAACCAGGGTGAGACGGCACTTCTTTGACAGCCTGCCGCCTACCATATTCTTCTCTGCCCCGCTCCCCCAGCATCTCCAACCCTTGAAGAAAGCCTGGGAGAGTGTGTCTGATGCCTTGAGTGGTTATAGATCTGACACCCAAGCCTGCAGTTCTTCAGATGCTTAGCTGGATAGACGTAGGCAAAGCAATTGCTTTTCTCATCTGTAAAATGGGCATGCTAACACCTTCTTTTCTGTTTTGAGGGTTAAATGAGTCAATACATGCAAAGTGAGTGTTCTGTGAATGTTAAGGTTTTGTTGACATTATTTCAAAGTAATAGGGTCTCTTTCCTTCCAGCTGGCTAGAGGGCAGACCCAAGGGCTGCTCAAAGGCAGGGATCCTTGGGGGTGCTGGCTCTTCTACACAGAGCAACTGCCTTCCCTTTGTGGCTTGTGAGATCACACTTGGATCTCAGAAACAACAAATTGAGGAGACCCCGGAAGCCCCCAGCCACCTAGGGAAAGCTTGTTCTGTCTTTCTAATTCACCAGCTTCTCACCCATGCTTTCTGCAACAGGTGAGGGGACACTGTCTGAAGGCGCAAGCCTGCCTTCCTCAGCGGGCCACAGAGTTCCACTGTGATTCGTGACTTCTCCAAGCCTTGTGCACTCAGCTTTTTGCCCTTTCCAGCCTTGAACATGCCCAATAAACGGGGTTGCCCACCAGGGAGATGGAAAGGGAGTAACGAGTTCAGCCCACCCTCTGTGAAAGTCCAGACAGGCAGCTGCTGGGCAGGAGAAGCAGGGACTTAGAAGGGTTAGGGGAAGGGCCCAGCACATTCTCCTGGGGTCCTGGGGCAGGCAAATTAGCAGGTGAGAGGAAACATCAGCCCTGTGGAGCCGTCTTGGGGAACTTTCTTACTGGAATATTCCTCTGTGGTAAATGTGGCTGCTTGTGCTTGCAAAGGAGGAGAGAGGGAGGCAGCTCAGAGGAGCTCTTCCCTGTTTACTCCCACTCCCCAAAACGGATGGCCTATTTGGAATACTCTGGAGCTCCTTTTCCAGGACATAGTCCTTCTGCCCAGCTAACACTGCCAGTCTTGGGCTCATGAATTACAGCAAAGCTCTCTCTCAGGAGCCTGATTCATGTTCTCAAGCCCTGGTGGACCATCAGAATCTCCTGAAGATTCCTGGGTCTTGATTCTGCAGATCTGTAGTGAGAGCCAACATCTGTATTTTCAGTAAGCCCTCCACACACCTCCCTCTCCTGCCTTCAGGTGACTGTGAAGATCAGCTGTGTGTGTGACCCCTGATCCCTGATCCTCCTACACCCTGCCTGCCTTGGGACAGACCCTCTCTATGAATGGAATGAAATGAGCAGGGGAGCAGGAGAGGGACCACCCTTCAGTTGCCCCTCCCCAACTGCTGAAGAAACTGCTGTCTTTTTCTTTTTTCTCCTCTGCCACAGGACCTTGTGCCAACCTGAATGGTTGGAATTATTTCAGAAAGGCTTTAAAGAAAAATATTTTTCTGGCTGTCTGCAAGAAAAAAAAAATGAACTGCCCCAGAGCTGGGAATTAGGACCTTCAAGGATTGGAAACTGGGTTGCTTACTTCTCTTTCTTTCCAAAAGCCAAGTGGTTTGGACCAGTGAGGCAAATTCAGAGCTGCTGAGAAGACATTGTGCAGGTTGGAAAGTCACTTTTCTCTCCCTCCTACCCATTCAAGCCCTGAATAATGGAGAAACCCTTCCAGCTTCTGCTCTTGCTTATCACCTCCCTATTCGGCCTGAACGTGGGATGCAAGATTTTCTTCTGGCTTTGCCATCTCAGCTGGAAGACATGCTTTATCTTTGCTCTGATGGTTGGGGAGGCATGTGAGGACAGGAGATGAGATGCAGGCAACGTGTGTGCGTGTGTGTTGATATCTGGTGACAACATCTGGCTCTGCACGTTAGATGCAGAGGTAGAGGTGAAGGGACAGGATGTTTTCATTTGGTTGCCCTTGTGGGGTGGTAGTAGTGAAAGTGCAGCCTGTGAGTGATATGTGTGACTTCGACAATATGTGACAATACAGAAAAGGTGCAAAGAAATGGGTTCTAGAGTCCAGTTTCTATGGAAACACCTGGTATGTAGAATTATTGTTTGCAGTGTGGCTGTCTGTTCTACAGCAAACATCTGTAGCAGGAAAGCTTAACTTTTGCAGCAAGCAAATAGAGGGGCATAGAGTGATGAAAAGCAGAAGAGCCTATAGGAAAGAAATTAGGAAGACTAAATTTGAACACATTTGTGAGGAGAAAGAGGTGGGAGGAAGGAAGGAGTGAGAATAGGGACTAGATCAGTAAAAGCTGGACAGATCAGGAGGAAACTTACTGGATGAAAGATTCTTCCCAGTCTGCTGCTCATCTCCCGACTGGGCTTACCTGCACACGCCTTCCTCTCCTCTCAGCTGTGAGTTTAGTCCTCGTCTTCCGCCCCTCCCTTCGACGGAGCTGTGGCAGCAGAGAGCCAGCTAGAAGTTCTGATCTCCCAGTGGTGCGTGCGTGCTGTGTTTGCCTGACTTTTCTTCCACCAGATCCTATTGGGGTGGGGAGGTTAGCTTAGTGGGAGGGAGGGGCAGATCATAGGGAGGGAGGGGAAGAGAAGAGGGAGGAGTGAGGGAGGGAGGAGAGGAGAGAGGGAGGGAGCTTGGGAAAGGAGGAATGACAATAAAGTCTTTATTTGGCAGCCAAAACTCCCAAAGACTTCATCCACACACCATGCCCACTAACAGACTCATTTTTAATAACATTTCCTTCTGCTGCTGCTGCTTCTGGAGAGGGGTTGTTTGACCCATGTTTGGAAAAGAAGCCAAATTAACAGAGGGAAAGGGCATGAAAGCAACCTCTGTGTAAGCCAAGAGTGGATGGCGGGGTCCAGCACCAGCCTGTATAATTCTTAACAATTGCCTTGCCTTCTGGGGCTGTTGGACCTGCGGTGTTAAATTCCTCAACCAGTGAGGGGTTTGGGACGCTTCCTCTGAGCAGTGACAGTCTTTTGCTAAGTTATCTTCTCCAGGAGGTTGCTAAGGAAGGGGAGTCTCAGGCTGGCATGGGAGATAACTTCAGTTTGGCTGCTAGAGAGCTGTTCTGAGAACCAGAGAGGGAGAAGTCTGGCCTGAGTTACAGAGCAAAGTTAAGGAGAATTAAGATTTAACGTAAGACCTAAAGGCACTATTCCTAGCTCACGCGGACAATGTAGTGGCTTCTTTCAGCTTCTCCATAGCACACTTAGCTGAGATTTGGGGGCTGTATGGTCATCACACAAAGTGATGGGAAATCCAAATCTCTCCTGTGCACATCAGCATCCCAGAAGACCCATCCAAGTAACACTGTTACCTCTAATAACAATAACCTCTAACAGCGCTCCCAGTTAAGAAAGCACAGCACACTTTCAGATAAGTAGATGTCCCTCTACTTATAAGCAGAACTTCCTGCCATGGCCGGATATGGTGGCTCACATCTGTAATCCCAGTACTTTGGGAGGCAGACTCAGGTGGATCATCTGAAGTCAGGAGTCCGAGACCAGCCTGGCCAACATGGTGAAACCTGTCTCTACTAAAAATACCAACAAATTATCTGGGCATGATGGCGGGTGCCTGTAATCCCAGCTACTAGGGAGGCTGAGGCAGGAGAATCACTTGAACCCAGGAAGCAGAGGTTGCAGTGAGCTGAGATCACACCACTGCACTCCAGCCTGGGCGACAGAGTGAGACTCCATCTCAAAAAAAAAAAAAAAAAGGAAAGAAAGAAAAGGAGAAGGAAAAATAAAAGCCACACCTTTCTCCAACCCCCTTCCACTCCAAATCTTCAAATCTCCAAATCTCATGGCTTCACACCCTATTGGTGAGGTCTTGCTGGAAGACAGCACAGCTCCTCTCCAGGTTCACATTAACCGTGGCTGTGCCAGGCTGCTCAGGAACTTCATTTCTCATCCAGATGGGATATGGCCTATTCTGCAGGCCGGGAACATCAGATCCCAGGTTTGCTTGTTTCCCTTGGTATGGTGGGTGGTAGATGATAGAGTGCAAAAAAGACTGACTGGGCACAGAGACTCATGTCTGTAATCCCAGCACTATGGGAGGCCAAGGCAGAAGATCAGTTGAGCCCAGGAGTTTGAGACCAGCCTGTGCCACAGAGGGGGACCCCGTCTGTACAAATAATTTAAAAATTAGCTGGGCATGGTGGTATGCACCTGTGATCCCCCCTACTTAGGAGACTGAGGTGAGAGGATCACTTGAGGCCAGGCGACCAAGGCTTCAGTGAGCTGTGATTACGCCATTATAGTCCAGCCTGGGTCACAGAGCGAGACCCTGTCTCAAAAAATAATAAGGTGAGCAAATTACAGTGAGGTGCAGGGAGGACAGGTAGAGTGCCGGGGGATGGACAGATCATAAAGAGTGTGGAGTGTGGGCAGGGATGGGTGTCTCCTGTATCTGTTTGTACAAGATCCAAATCCTGAGTCTATGCTCTTGGAAATGGATGGCGAACTTCCAAGCCCTGCCCAAGCCAGTTATCTCCCTTCTGCCCTCTCCTATCTCCCTCACCCCACGCTATGCAGAGAGAACTGGAAGGAAGCATAGACATGGCCAGCAGCATATTCAGGAGTATCTAGAGTAGAGTTTGCTAAACAGTGGCCTGTGGATCTAATATGACTTGAGTACCTAATTTTTTTTTTTGACATCACATTAATATTTTTAAAGTTTGTGGAAATGTTAAAAACATATACATATTTACAAAGGATAGTATTAATATCCCCATTACCTAATACCTAGCTTCAACAACTACCGACTCATGGCCAATCTTGTTTCTTCTGTGTTCCCCACTCCCACAAGCCCTATTGGTATATTTTGAAGCACTGGTTTAAAAAAAATGGATTTGAACGCCTTTAGATTGGACAAGCACTTCCCAGTTCAACACAGCTGCCATCCTGGGAGACAGAGGGCCAAGTTCTTGGGACTGGCTTTGCCCTGCTGCATGCTGTGTGACCTTGAAGATGTCCCTCTCCCTCTCTGACCTCAGTTTACCATTTGTAAAATGTGAGGTTATATCAAATGACCTCTCAGTGCTCTTCCAACAATACTGTGAAGGCAGAGTATAAGATTTGGGGTCAGGAAACCTGGATGAAGATGTCAGCTCTGCTGTTCTCTGGCTACCTGGTGAGCAGGTCTCAGCACCTGAGCCTTGGTTTTCTCATCCATACTTGGAAGGTAACAACCCTGCCCCGTCTCCCTCCCAGGGTATACCCAAGACAACACGAGAATCATTGGAAGCAATGGCAGGGAGTATTTTGTGATTCACTGGCTTCATGCACCCTGGGGCTACGTGGATCCTCCAGGAAGAACTTCCTCTACTCTAGAGTCTCGGGGACACCAGTGGTGTGGCTTCAACCCAGGGGAGGTATTTATCTCTTGCTGGTGTGACTAGAGGACAGTCGCAGGCACAGGATGGGAATGCTGGGGCTTGTAGTGAGAAGTCCAGATATGCCCGTTGCTGCTGCTGCTGCTGCCTGGTGCTAGGAGAGGGCTAGGGGCAGCATGGTTAGCAGGCAGAATGCAGGGAAGGCCAGGCAGTAGATGGAGGGGTCTTCAGGGTGGTGGGTTTCAGCTGCATTTGCAGAGTCAGGACCTGCTCACATTTCCCATCCAGACTGAAATCCATCTGGGGGCTCGCCATTTCTTTGACCTTCACAGTGATTGCTGCCTTGGTTACAAGCAGTGAGTGCTTAAAGCAAGAGAAGAAAGGACAGGATTGTGTAATACTCTTTCCATAGAAGCACAGAAGGGTGGTACTCAAGCTTCCCACCTACCCTGTGGCCAGTCCTGAGACTGCCAGGAAGGAGCAGTGTGGGTCTGAAGAGTTTGGCTCAAACTGCCCAGTGGTCACCAGGACCCACAAAGGCTGGCCCTGGACAGACCCTCACCCTGGTTGAGGCTCCCAGTCCAGGGTGGCTAGGGTCTGGGCAAATGTGTACAGGGGAGAAGCTGTGGGAGTCCTGCGGCAGCCCATCCCACCCTCCAGCCTGGGGGGCCTGGGGGCCCTGGGGTGAGTGGGCCCCTGGTGGGCAGAGACAGAGAGACAGCATCCTGTTCATCATGGTATAACCCACAGCACCCACCAACGGCTTGGCACACCCTGGGTGTTCAGTAGGGGTCTGTTTCATTGAATTTAAGAAGGTTGAACAAGGAGATTCTCTGTCACTCTGGTTTTTTTTAAAGGTTATTATTTTTTGAATAGCTAATACATTCTCTTGATTGAAAATCTAAGAGGTATAAGAGGTTGCACAGGGAAAAAAGTCTTTCCTTTGCCTGTCTGCTCATCACTCAGTTTCCCTCAGAAGACCGTGTGCCTATTTCTATGTCCTCGTGGATCTATTAATGCACATACAGGTAACCAATAAGCAGCTGTGCCTATTTCTATGTCCTCGCGGATCTATTAATGCACATACAGGTAACCAATAAGCAGCTGTGCCTATTTCTATGTCCTCGCGGATCTATTAATGCACATACAGGTAACCAATAAGCAGCTGTGCCTATTTCTATGTCCTCGCGGATCTATTAATGCACATACAGGTAACCAATAAGCAGCTGTGCCTATTTCTATGTCCTTGTGGATCTATTAATGCACATACAGGTAACCAATAAGCAGCTGTGCCTATTTCTATGTCCTCGCGGATCTATTAATGCACATACAGGTAACCAATAAGCAGCTGTGCCTATTTCTATGTCCTCGCGGATCTATTAATGCACATACAGGTAACCAATAAGCAGCTGTGCCTATTTCTATGTCCTCGCGGATCTATTAATGCACATACAGGTAACCAATAAGCAGCTGTGCACTTTGATTTTCACTGAGTGGTAGGTATATTTTGAAGATGATCATATTGGCACTTAGGGTACATTCTCTCTTCTCTCTTTCTCTGCCCCCAGCCCCCACTATTTATGTATTTGAGCAGACTCTTTTGGTGGACATTTGGGCTCCTCTTTTTTTTTTTTTTTTTTTTTTTTTAATTTGAGACAGTCTCACTCTCATTGCCTAGCCTGGAGAACAATGGTGTGATCTCGGCTCACTCCACCTCCCAGGTTCAAGTGATTCTCCTGTCTTAGCCTCCTGAGTAGCCGGGATTACAGGCGCCTGCCATTACACCCGGCTAATTTTTGTATTTTTGGTAGAGATAGGGTTTCACCATGTTGGCCAGGCTGGTCTTGGTCTCGAACTACTGACCTCAGGTGAGCCTCTGCTTTGGTCTCCCAAAGTGCTGGGATTACAGACATGAGCCACCTCTCCTGGCCTGGGCTCCTCATTTTTAAGGTAGGCAGTGCTGGACTTGGAGTCTCACAAACTTGGTTGCAGGCCTGGCTCTGCCTCCTCTGCATGCTAACGAGGTGGTCTTGGCCTATCCACACGCCCTCCCTGAGCCTCAATTCTCTCCTTTTACCATGTCAGGTATTTGCTGCAGTCCGTCAGCTCATCGGGGACAGAAAAACACCTTTATCCTATCATTTCACTTTCCTAATTTCCAGATCCGAGTGCTCACTTCACTGGGACAGTGGAACTCTCCATCTCAGT